GAGCTCCTCCTCCCCCTCCTTCTTCACTGACCTTGGTGTCTCCAGAGTCGTTCCTCTCACATATGCTCACTCCAGTTGCAGTTTGTGTCCCGATGTTCTGGGGTTTGGCTTTTTTTCCCCTTCTTAAATATGTTATCCCAGAGGCACTACCACTGTCACTGATTGGCTCGGCCTTGGCCACTGGCAGGGGCACCTTTGGGCGCCTCAGCAGCAGGTCCATCTTGGAGCCAGCTGGCATTGGCTCTACTGGACACAGGGGAAGCTTCTAGCAGCTTCTCACAGAAGCCGCCCCTGTAGCCCCCCCAATCCCAAAACCTTGCCACACAAACCCAATACACTTATTTTCTACCCCCATCCTGTTGGGAAGAGGGGACAAGAGAACAGGTTGGTGGATGTCTGGCAGCCAGTCAAGGTCAACCCACCACAGTCGCACTTTCAGCCACAGGAGCTTAGTTCTTCTATTGTTAGCCCTTAATTAATTGCACAATGTTCACAACAGGAATTTCTATTATTGCACAAATAATTAACAAGATGTAAAATGCTACTTAAATGAAACAAGTTAACTCTGTATTTACCTCCAAGGCCTGCATTCTCCTTAACAGCATTTTATGCTCCTCGTTCTTGATTTTTTCTTCATAGAATTCCCGAAATGTCATTTTGTAGACTAATTTCATACCATGCTTCTTTGCCATTCTGTCAAAATAGTAAGCTTAATTAGCGAAGCCATTACTTTCAAAAGAACAATTTTAAGCCACAGTGACATCTTGCGGTGTTCACTAGGATTACACTCTTCCTAGAAATCATTTTTTTAGTAAAGACGTTTAGATGAAAAAAAAATGCACTACCACCACAAACTGTACTTTTTTTAATTAGACAACAGAAATCTACACAGAAGTAATTTACAAACATTTTAATATAAAAATGTCTCTTCTCCCAACACACAGAAGTAAGTTCCATTTGAACTTCCAGATAGACTAAGCTATTTCCCTGCAGTATCATCACCATGTCCCATCAGATATTATGGATACATTTAGAGAACCTCCTTCTACTAGATTTAGTGCCTTACAATTGTGCCTTACATTTAGTGCCTTACAATTATATGTAAACACTGTGGTCATACAACACTGAAGTCACAAGTGTCAGTCACAGATGCTGGTATTTTTCACAGACAACTACAAATGAAGTGTGTGAAAACATACAGGTTTGAAGGGAAAGCTTAATATTGTTTAGAAACCATACTGAGCTTGAATGGCAGGAAAAACCCCAACACGGAAACATTTGTCTGTACCTCAGGAGACAGGTTGGGAAAGGCAAATCTGAATTCACACAGAGGTAACAGCAAAATGTATGGTCACAGAGTAAGAAGATTTAGAGGGAGAAAAAGTAAGTTGTAGGAAAAACCCTACAAGCATCCAAAGAATGTTGGAGAAGACAAGAAAGAGGCACCATGATGAAGAGGAGGTACAAGGCGGCTTGCTGAAAAACTAAAGAAAGATAGCATGAACCCCCCCAAAAAGTTAAGATTAAAGAAGAAAAAGTTGACAGCACTAAAGGTTTACTGACAGATCCAACACATCAGATACAGACAGACATTCTCGTGTGAGACCTAGTTTAAATCTCCACAGCTTCTGACCAGAGCACCTTCAACTGAACCCAATGGACAGATTACATTTGCGGATGGAAATGCAAGAAACTTCTTCATGTGGAGCAACAACAAAAAAATGAAGAACTGAAAATTATAATAAGAAAGCCAAAATATAATTTTGTGCAAGTATTATGCAATGACACACAAGCTAAACAAACGCTTATTACGTTTCACAGCTTTCATTATATAATTAATTCAAAACTTAACTTACTCTTCCAGTAATGGAAAATAAACCAAGAACTCAGGGACATCAACCACTTCTTCCAAGTGGAAATCATACTTGCAACCAAACAAGGAATATTCTCCCTTCTTTTCAAATTTTACACTGTATACCTCATTCCCAAATGAATTTGTTTCTGAAGCTTCAAGTCGCTTTCTATAAAATGAGATATAAACAAACATTAATTGACCAGTTTTTAATTTAACAGACAGAGAAAACTATGCATAAGAGGCCTGAAAGTGTTTCTCCCAGAACTACAGCATTCAGTGATCTCTCCAGTTTCCCACCTCCCTTATCTAATAAGGCAATGAAACAGTGAAATGAAGAGAAGCAGCATGCTAGGTTTTAAAAGTTTATCATTCCTATACCACATACCGAGGACTAAACGGACCTAGCAAATTAACCTTTAGCCCAGACACAGTCTACATGGACAAGTCAAGCTTTTTGGAACCACAGCAAAACCCTGACAGTTATTCCCCAGGCTGTGGCTACTTTGTCACTACTTAAGTCACTACACAGGGTTTATGTATGAAGATCTATACTCTATACCAGAAGAGCCATGGGTGCAAGGGACAAGGATTAATACAGATTTACCTGTTTGAGTCAAGCTCATGAGTGAGATTTTCCTGACTGGCATCCAAAATTGTTGCAAAAAACTTGTTTTTGTTTGCACACACATATCAGAGCACTGTGAGAACGACTATCACTTAACAATGCTTCACAGACTTTTGAAAGACTAATAGAATATAAAAGTACTTACACAAGTTCAAAGCTATTTGGAGTTGTGCCAATAAAATACCCTCCAGGAGAGAGGTTCCCACAAGCATTTTTAAGCATCATGTCAGCCTGCTCGTATGTCTCAAATGAGTAATGGTAAACAAATTGACAGCTGCAAATGTCAAAGCGCATATCTGGATTGTTGTATTTGGAAGACAAGAGATCCTGAAATAGATTTAAAAGGAAAAAAAAAAAAACATAACAAAAGCTACAGAAACAAGCATGATTCACTTAAATCTTCCAACAAAATATGCTACTTTAATAATTCTTTGAAGTTTTTCCTTTCAGCCCTCACTCCTTCACAACTTCAACAAGAACAAGATGAAAAAGGTAAGAGTAAGAAAAAGCCCTCTGCTACACAGAAAACCATACATAACATCTGAGAACAACAAGAATACACATACACATTTCAAAGTTATCATGTCCTCAAATTCTTTTCATGTTGTCAAGTAACACCACTACGCCTGAAAGGCCAAAACCCAAGGTTAGTTACCTAATAGTTTCCAGAAATATTTTACTGCTGAGGGTTTGTAACTGGCCACTGTTTAGCTGGAAACAATTATTATAATAAAATGCATTTTCGGTTTACTAAGTCTCTGTAGTGAGAACTGACCCATTAAACATACAATTGAGAGGAGGAGGGGTTGTTTTAAACATGGCAAATCACCTGCCCACTAAGTAGCATTTATCTGTATTCTCACACACGTATGTAACGTGTACAAACATACTCCTCCCCACCCCAGACCAAGTAACGAGTAACTGAAGAACTTGGAGCCCTTGAAATTTGTCAGCTTAAAATTTGTCACAGTTTGACCTTGTACTCAGCAGTTCTCTAACTCTTCTTGATCAGGCTTTTTTTATACAATACCAGTAAGCCACTATAAATAACACAGGAGCACACAGGTTCTCCCCAAGGCCCATGATATGTATTCTGTACTTAAAATATTTCATACTTAACAGTTCTACCCGAATTTCTCTTCTCTCCCAGACTTCCCAACCACCCACTCTCAGCCTCTACCAGTTCATGCCACATACTGTCAACATTCTGTACGCAGCAAGACAAACATGGACACTTCACATACCCATAGCAATTTTATCTGTTCATTTACTCCCTCTCTCCATTTTGAGAGACAGAGATACAGGAAACTGAGAAACAAAGGTGGGTGGAATTGGACAAGCTGTGAGAAGGAGATTTTGTATTATATACAACATAGATGATAGAGATACCAAGTCAGGGACCTGAACTTTTGTGTCCACGGACAGACAGAGCAGAGTGTGCAACAGAAAACACACGTCCATATAAGACTGAGCTGTAATAGCAACATGAAAATATCACTTTCTCTCCTGGCCAAGGCTCTCTCCTCTGACTGCAATTTTGAGCCCAGAGAGATGACCTGGAATCTGCAACAGACTGTATTCCTCAGAAGAAGGGGAGGCAACCAAGAATTCAAGCCAACAAGCTTTCCTGCAAGGCTGGAAAGAACAGTTTCAGCCTTTCCACAGATATGCTGGAACCAAGTAGGCTCTGTCCCTCGGCCTGCATCAGCACAGCACTCTCAGCCTGCATTTCTAGGAAGCAAAAGCAGTGCTGGCTACGAGACTGTCACCTAAGCCTCAGCGATATATTTAATAACGCCTCCAGACAGTCTAAGAAATCTGCCCTATCACACAAATGTTGAAGATATGTACTATGGTAATTAAAATACTGCTAAAAAAAACCAAAGTACCGGGATAAGCAAAATGTACAACTCAAATCAGAAAATGTCCCTTATTCATTCCAGCATAAAAACCACATTCACCAAGATAGTTTCCAACATCCCATGCTGGCTCCCAGAATTAAGTAGTCATTCCCTTCCCCTTGTCAAGTGAAAGAAACTGAAAGCACCAGATTTATTATGTGAAAAAGACATTCAGGCTTCTAGAACATTACACTGTAAAATAGTAATGAAACATATTTAACTACATCTCAGTAGCCTGTATGGTTGATTCTCCTGATAGTACAACAATCTGATCTTAAAAATACGCATGCCCTAAATGTTACAGCACTAGCATCACTTCCTATATTTGCTTAACACAAGAATGTTAAATTTCCAAAATATTATAAAGTGTAGGAACTGTACCTTGGTACTATCTGCTTGTATAAATTCTGCATCAAAAATATGTTCATTATAACGACATCGGGCTTTCATGTCTTCGTATCGCTGCTTGCACTGTTGCACAGAAATGTCAGCAATATCTAGACAGAGCGAGAAATTGGGAAAAAAAAAAAAAAAAGTGTGTAAACTGCTCCCCAGACAAGAAAACTGGAATGATTACTAGAACACGTCAGATCCATTACAGCAGGGGTAAAAGTTGATCTTCAGTTACACTTTGACGGGAACAAACACTTTCATTTCCAATTTGTAGAGAAGGAATTTAATTTGCAGAAGGTGTCATTTTCAGTTTTTACTTCAGACAGAAGTTGTAATCTGAGGAGTTTAGAAAGCTCCCATCCTCAAAAGTGCAAAGCAAGACTCCAAGATTTCAAGTGATGGATACTAGGTGGTTGATACTAAGTGCTGTTAGCATTAAGTGTCTGGTATGCATTAGCTAAAACAGTTCTGCTCCCAGAGTTTCTCCAACAGTACTGAAAGCTCTTCATCTTCTTACAATATGCAAGATGTTGAGATGCAATTATTTGTGATATATGCCAGCATATTGCATCATGGGAAACTTTTTATTTTGTTTTTAAGACTGTTCCTCTCTCAGGCATAAGAGTTTCACTGAATTATATTAACAACTAACAATATGCAATAGATTTATGTAAGAACTTTGTAAGCAAATTCATTAACTGTATTTGAAGACTGCCAACTGAAAAAGAAAGGCAAGAAAGAACTGTTAAATGCAAAATACCCAGGACAATTCCCACTAAAGGAGTTTTATGAAATTTTATTATCTGTTAAATCTGAAGTTAAGTAATGCTTCCTCTGATTATCCTTGGCATGCTTTTAGGGAGAAGGGAAGATGGTACCTCCCCTTCCCAACATCTAAGCAAACTATTTAAGTGAAAAATTATTTAATCAGACCATTTTTTGTCAAACCACTGTGGGGTTTGTTTGATTTTTTTTAAATGTAAGTCTTATGCGCGTATTTTCAGAACAGTCAAAAACACTACAAAAGATCACATGTGGGAGAAAATACATAAAATATAAAATTACAGTCTTTTCCCCAGTGTTACACTTTGCCTAAGACAATCTGTGGTAATTGTGCGTTTCTTTACTGAAGGTAGTTTTTATTTATGAGTTAAACTGAAAGCTCATTACACAGAAAATCAATGTTTCTTGTATTTATGCTGGCAATCAAGTTGATGTCATCAGGTCAAAAGACAAAAGGAGACTTTTTGACAGAAGGTATATCGCTGCATTCTTGGACTTATTAAAAAAAGGAAATAATAAAAGTCTGGAAATGTGCTTGTTTTTCCCATAAAAGACTGCTGTACTTTCCCTGGAAAGTTAGTGTGTCTTCTTACCAGTACAGACAAGTTTTTTAATTCTGCCTTTTTTCCATTTCAGTAAGTCTCCACCTTTGCCACATCCTAGATCCAAAACCGTTATATCACTCTTTTTCCGTCGTACTCGGTCTATAAATTCACCTAGAAAAATAAAAAGAGAGAACGCATACACAGGTGTCTCCAATTCACTTGTATTGTACAGAGATCCCTAAAGGACCAAAAGGGTTTGAGAATTTTAAAACATCTCAGAACTTACTTTGCCTCTAAGCCTTCTTAACATTACAGACTTAAATCTTTCTTTCTAGAAACCACTAATGATGAAAGCAACCACAAACTTTTAAAACTATGGAGAAGATAATGAATATTTTCTGTGCTTAATGTGCTTTGCATGTAATGTGACTGGAGCTCTGAACTGTTTCCCTGGCAGACAAAAGCAAAACTGCACATCGCTAAACAACCACCCCGTGCGTGAGTGGGGAAACAGGGTTCCCTTTCATTACCATTATAATGAAGGCAGATGTTATTTGAAAGTATGGGAAAGCCTTCTGCAAAAGAGTAAAAGCCAATTAAATGCATCAGCCACAACTTTTCCTTGCAGTCACATTACAAAAATGCATCATGTTCTCCACTCACTCTCCTAGGCCTTGCAGCAACACCAGCTACTTGTTTGCTGTCTTTTTCCCCTACATATACCAATTTCATTTTCTATCTCCACTCTGTCTAGATTATGTCTGCTCTGACTGATGTTGGCATATTATGCAAAACATATCAGCGTGCTATCAACTTTTCTTCACAGTAAGAGACATGAAATATGCTGGGTTACAACTGCTGTAATGCCACACTACTGAAATTCATCGTGACTGAAAGGCTTCAACACAGGCTCCAGGAAAGTCTTTATATAACCCAAAACATTGCTTCTAACTGCTCTGATACAGCATGCTGCTTTTTGTTGTGTTAAGACAAATGGTGCCAACATCTCCTGGCATTGATCCCTCTTCATGAATCTGTGGTACTCTGCTGGTAATTCTTTTCTGTGTTTGGAGATATCTGATGGTTTTGTTTCCTCACTTTGGAATTAATTTGTGGGATAGCAGACTTTGCCTTTTATAAAAAGCTGCTGATTCTTAAAGAACTACATCCTCTAGTTTTTCATCTTTTTAAACCATTGACTATGGGTAATACAGAAAATATTTACATGTTCACGTTTCCTACAGAATTGCTTAATCTAGACCTAAAGACAGACTGCTGTGGGAAAATGGTTATGAAATTATTTGAGACAGATTTAAATAACAAGAACAGCTCAGTCTAACAAGAACAGATAGATTCATTATGATTTAAAGCTGTAACTTTCTCTTTAAAAATGTCATGAAGAAGAACAGTTTCCAGTATGATATTTTTCAGATCAGGTGATCTTTAAAACTTTAGCATGTATTTGGCACTCCAACAATATAAAACACTATCACAAAGATTCAAAATAAAAATAAATCACATTTGAAAAATCTTACTACGTATGAAGAGACAAAGTGCTGTTATCAACATCAGAAAGCAGAAAAAAGTTACATTTTGATACAAAAATTAGTTACATTTTACTGAAGTCTAAGCAATCAATTAAAGAAGCTTACCAATGAGGACGCTCTTTGTCCAATTATTAAAGTTTCGGAGGTAGAATATGCGAGACTGGCTACGTTTTTCTAATCCAACTTCCTGAAGTTCATTATAATGTGCAGCTACAGCTTGCCCATGACCTATCTCATGCTGTAGAAATGAGGGAAGGAACAGACTCAAGCAGTGAATCATTTTTATTACTTTTTCAGTTAATCAAAAGACCTGTGTTCACTTTGAGCATTTAAGAAAGTAAACAAGTAATACTATGAAGAGCACCACCATTATATATGTAAAAACATTTCCCCTGTCTGTGCTGGTACTGACATCAGCACTTCAGTTACCACAGAGACAACTCCCTTAAAAATGTAATCCCCTTTTCAGCTGGTCCAAGTAATTTCTGATGGATGATGCCCAGCATCTTTCCTTCACAGAAATACTTAACTTTCAGTTCTCTAATACTCTCACCACTCTCAAAGAATCAGTTTCATTCCCCTTAAGCCTGGGACTGAAGAAAAGGATGTTCCTTCTCGAGGAACTTTAGGTTTCTTCAAAAACCCTGTTTCAGAAATTCAGTGTCTACATCTAACAGAAGTGTATCAACTGCCAATTTAACCAAAATGACAACTAGCTGATGTCACATAAAGCCCACTGCCAGAGCTTTAAAGAGACCATGGTAAGGGAATGAGAGTAATGACTTGATAATATATCACATTTAATGCTTAACAGTTAGCTGTAGAAATGTCTCTGGTTTAGCCTTAACTGTAAATACTCCATTCTGTCCCATGTGACACAGAGAAGCAGTCTACATCCAGATATTATGCACCTAACATTTCTGCACCTTGAAAATAATCTTCAATTACATACATGAAATTAAAATAAATTGTAAATAAAATACAAAGTAACAGAATATGGAGAACCAACACAAATTGTGTGAGGCACTAAAGTGTTTGAAATAACAGTACAAACTAGAATGAACGATTCTCAGTTAGAACCCACAAACATGCCACAAAGCCTCAGCCAGCATGAATTCACACAGCAATTAAAAGCATTACCAACAGTTGACTACAGAAGTCAACATCCTGAAACCTTATTATTCAAATAGCAGTTCCTCAAGGGAAAAGAAGGTTTGACTGACTTTAATATACTACACGAATTCCTCAGTGTTTCATAGAATTTTGGTAACCGTCAGAATGAACAGAGACATACTTGTCTGGAATCTCTGTGACCCCATCATCTGTTTATTACCACACTCGCTGACTGATACTAACAAATATTTTGACCACCTCTAATCTTTTTTAGGATAAGCACAGATGGCGCCCTGAATGGCCACTAGGGTGACGTAAGCTGGAGTGGCTGACTTTGACAGATGTGGGGAACATATTCATACAATCCATTAATGCACCTCAGCTGCTGCAAGCACAGTTGCAAACAGCCATCAGCAATAGCACATAGAAGCTGGCAGCTGCATTCAATGCAAACACCTCTCTACACCCTTAAGCTCCACAAAAACCAATGTATTTCTTGTCCACCTAAACCTTATCCCAGAACCACCTTATTAAAAAGATGAAAGGGCTAATAATCTTTCTACCACAACAAAGGGCACCCTTTATTTTACCAGATCGCTTAACCATAAATTAACATCCTGGAAAAATTCTGAACAGAGAAACAAAACATTAGGTCAAAGATGTTTTCAAATCATACTCAAATATCCCAAAAGGTCAAAATTAGACTGGATATTACAGCACCAGTTTCGGCAAGCTCATACATAATAAAGGCCAGTGTTATATAAAACATTACCCTTTTCACCCTCCCAGTTAAAAGGACAAGTATTTTCTGCTACTCTTGCAGTCTTTACAAAAAAAAAAAAAAAAAAAAGCATGTGTAAACCTTTCAGTACTTCACTTTTCACACAAATCACACTGAAATTATATCACAGAGGATGCAGTTTGTAGAGTTTTCTAAATTATACAATACCTTATTGAGGAAATTAAAGGACGAAATTATCTTACAGAAGAACCTCTCATGCACAGATAACTATAACACACAGGATAACAACATACAAAATGTACCAATTCAAGATATGGGACTTGGACTAATGCCAGTAAAGCCTACACTACACTACCAGATTGCTACCACATCGACGATGGAATGATAATCTTAGAATTAGACTAAGCATGTGCTGAGACCAGTTTTATTAACGTTCCAATTACTAGCCCTCTTTCTCTTCTGTTAAACCCAATGTGACTTCTGCACCCGTTATTTTGCTAAGAAGCTACCCACAAACTTTGACATTTAGTGTTTCATGCTGGTTCACATACGTTTAGCACAAACATTTTCAATCTTTTCTTGAGCTAAGGCTTTGAAACAAGGATTTGAACATAGCTCAAAATAAATGATACTCACTACTTTCTTAGGAGGTTCACCTTCAGTATCCAAATTCTTCCTTTTCGCTCTGCCGTCCTGATTAACACTATCAACTGCTTTTTCATTTTCAGTGGGGTGCACTGTAGCTGAAGTTGAACTATCGCCTTCCCAACCAATACCTGAATCTGCCTCTGAAGTATGAGGTGTTTTCTCCACTTTTTCATCCAAACTCTTCTCTACTTCCTGTTCTTCTACCTTGGCTATATCAGCCATTTTTGACAGGTTAGTCCCCTTGTCCGTTGATCAGAATGGAAATCTATAGGGAGAAAAAAAAAAAAACACAAAACACCTGCTATTTTCAGTGTTTAATTTCACTTACTTGTGGTTATGGTCATGACTTTCAATCATAATACTGGCCTTATAAAAAAATAACATGCCTTTGCCCTACACAACATATCAACTTCAAATTTAGCTAGTTTTTAACAAAGATAGCACACTAAAACATGTGGAATTTCAAAGTATTCTCCTTATAATAAGACCAAATTAAGATAAATCTTTACTCTTCATGTTTGAGTCTTTCTTAGCTATCTTTATCGATTCAACTGCAAAGCACTATTGGTTTTCAGCCTGTAATTTCCCTCTTCCCCTCCCCACATAAAGTAACCTACAAATCACTAAGTTTAGAAACACAAGCTGTCAGTCCCTCAAATTAGTAAATTCATTTTTTAATCTGATATGCTTTCAAACGGATGCCCTCAAACAAAAAAAATCAAGGTGTTTTTAAAGCGCAAATTTTGATGGCAGTTGTGGATTTTCAAGTTTGCCAAGAATATCCGCTACGCCTCAAGCTTCACTAACACTAGGATTCTTCAGCTGTAGCTGCATTGCTATGTCTCCACTTCACAAAAATCTACACAGTCTGTAGGGCTGCAAATCAGTGCTACAAAGCTCATTTCGTCTGCCAGCACATCCTAGCCTTCTTTACACCATCATCAGGAAGCAGGGCACCTACTGTTCAATAAAGCACAGGAGAGGATGATTTGGCAACTCCTTTTCTAAAACAGTGGCCTATTTCAGTCTGACAGAAAACACGCACTCTCCGCTGTATCCAGGCTTAAGTCTCCTAACGAGGGCGAAAACACATTCATTAAGTGGACCACAGAGACCCCAAAGCAGCTTTCCTCAAAACGGACGGCCTCGAAGTATGACTTATGAAAATAACTTTTCCACTGCGGTAGGGCATCTAACCCATGCTTCCGAAGAAGCACACCCTTTCTTATCTTCACTCGGCTGCTCCAAGCAGCGCACCAGGACGCTTTCGAGACCTGCATTCGGGAACGATCAGAATTTCAGAACCGGTAATGGCAACCAAGCGCCCAGAGGGCCGCTCCTTCGGAAGAAAAGCCGGAGAGCTCGAAGCGCCGGGGGGACGGGACGGGACGGGACGGGACGGGACGGCGCTCGCAGCCCGGGAAGCGCCAAGAAGCGACAGGCGCTGT